GTCAGATTCTTGCTTTAAGGCTTCTTTAAAGTGATAGATCATACACTTTCAGAAGTCGGTCATTCCTTTTTAGATTCAGACAGAGATTTTGGAAGAATTGAAAAAGTTTTACAGTATGAGACTGTATATGACCCAGATCAATAATCATAATATAACATGTACGGCTTCACGTAGTAACACTGTTATCGATATGTCAGGTCACTTTCGAAAAATTAGTAATATTACAGGGAAACTAAAATAACTGAATAGGAAAACGGATGAAAACAAAGGAAAGGTAAAGTTTCGAGATGCAGTCAAATTGATTCGAGTGGAAGAATATGGCTCCTACCTTTTTAAAGAGTGCTATGGTGAAATGACCCCCTTTAAGAAATTCAATATCCTTAAAAAACATGGATCTCCTGTCAGTTTCGAAGTTTAACAAGTGGAAGGAAACTATGGCACGATAAGTGAAGAAAAACGGGCCAATACTAGCGAACAATTAAAGTTTGTCAAACCGGAATATCGCTATTTCTACGATTCAATTTTGGATATCTAGCTTTATGGAGAAAATGTTTTTAATATATGTGTCAAACGCTCTCTATGCCCTGATTTATACAAAAAACTCATTCATTCACAAAAATAAGAATATTTAAGTTTTCGTAATTTAAGAAGGTGTTACGTTCTTTTTTTTCTTAATAAATAAATGAAATTTTAATATTTTTTTATTATTGTTTACTTTAATATTAGAAAACCTCATTACCTTTCTAAAGAATATAATTTTAATAAGATACGCGTTCTTATAATCAAAATATTCGAAAGATAGACATAAGATCATTGAGTGCCGTTCCTGATCATTTTTAGTTTTGTTACTTAGCACTAATCTATAATCATATTTGAAATAAATCATAAACTGAAAGGGTTAATAAATAAAAATCTTCTTTATATATTTATAAAGTATAACGTATAATATATATTATACGTCATAATAATATATATTATAAGTCATTTTCAAATCTGTCTGCTTGAAATGGAAAACCTCCAAATTGATGTTTTAGGTATAAGTGACGTACAGTGGCCAGGTTCAGGCAAACAAATTACAAATAATGGAACCATGTATTATTCAGGTAACAACGAGGTCAATCATCGCTATGGTGTTGCTATCTTAGTTGCAAAAAAGGTCAATTACTCTGTGGTAAGTTTACTCCTTATTCTGCAAGTTTATGCTCATACGGCAGATAAAGATGACGACGATATCGAACTGTTTTACCATGATTTGGAACAAGTCTTAAAATCAATGAAGAAACATCACACTACAATAGTAATGGGCGACTTCAATGCCAAAGTTGGCCAGGGAAGAGTGGATGGATATGTGGGGGAATATGGTCTAGGAAATAAAAATGAACGTGGTGACCGTTTGATACAATTTTGCCAGACGGAAGAATTTGTAATACATAGCTAATACACTTTTTAAGCTATCAAAAAGAAGATTGTATACATGGAAATCTCCCGGTGATACAACGAATAGAATAATTCGAAATCAAATTGACTTTGTCCTTATTAGACAAAGATTTCGTAATTCTATACTGTCTGCCAAAACTTACCCTGGAGCAGACATCGGTTCAGACCATAACCCCATAGTAGTCACATTACGAACCAAATTAAAACTGGTTAAAAAACCCACACAAAGTAGAATTGATATTAAGAGATTAAGGGAACCACAAAAAAAGGAACAAACTGTAAAAACTCTTCGATCAGTAAAAACTGATCGATTAATAAAAAAGAAAATAAAAGAAGCTAAGGAGAGAATGTTACATGAGCAGTGCCAAGAACTAGAAGAAATCGAGAAAAAATATGACTTTTTTAACATGCATAAAAGAATTAGAGAATTAACAGGAATGAGAAAAACACTTCAAACTAGGCAACTAAGAGATGAAAAGGGTACACTTATAACAGATATAAACCAAAAAATGCAGAGATGGACACAATATATAGCACAACTTTTTGAAGACAAAGAGAGAACAGAAGCACCAAAAGAATTTAAGGATGATACTGGGTCTGACATTATACGAGAAGAAATTGAATATGCAATGAAACAAGCTAAAGGTGGTAAATCTCACAAGCCTGATGAAGTTCCTATCGAATTACTTAAAATCGTGAATACTGAATCTATTGATCTTCTTTTGGATCTATTCAATACCATATATAGAACAGGTATAATACCTAAAGAATGGCTCCAAGCAACATTCATGCTACTTCCCAAAACAGCCAATGCAAAGGAGTGCAATGAACATCGCACCATAGCCTTAATGAGTCATGTCTTGAAATTGTTTTTAAAAGTAAATCACAATGGAATACATAAGAAATTAGATGAAGGCATAAGTAATACACAAATGGGATTTAGGAAAGGACTGGGAACACGAGATGCACTGTTTGCATTAAGTGTTCTTTCGCAGAGATGCTTAGATATTAATCAGGAAGTATATGCCTATTTCATTGATTTTGAGAAGGCATTTGACAGAGTGCAGCATAATCGACTTAAAGAAATTTTATTAAATAAAAACATAGACAGTAGAGACATTAGAATCATATGTAACCTCTATTGGAATCAAACAGCAAAAGTGAAAGTTGAAAACGAACTGACCAAGGATATCCAAATTCGCCGTGGTGTTTGCCAAGGGTGTATTTTATCACCCTTGTTATTCAATTTATACAGTGAAGCCATCTCAGAATTAGCGCTTGCCGAGATCAGTGAGGGCCTTATAATAAACGGTGAGCCACTTAATAACATAAGATATATGCTGACGACACCGTCCTTCTGGCAGGAATACTAGAAGAACTGCAACACCTTGCTGAACAACTAAATATATATTGCAACGATTATGGACTAAAAATCAATTTGAAGAAAACCAAGTTCATGGTATTTACAAAAGCACTAAACATCAAAGTTAAGCTAGTACTAGATAATACAGAAATTGAACAAATATCTTTGTACAAATACCTTGTAGCATGGATCACAGAAGATACTGATCAGACAAAAGAAATAAGATGCCGCATTGAAATTGCGCGGTCAACTTTTAATAGAATGAGAAAACTTTTTTGTAATCGCGATATCAATATATCGCTCCGGATAAGAATGCTTCGATGTTATATTTTCTCTACCCTTTTGTATGGAGTTGAAGCTTGGACACTTAAAAAATCAAACATTAAAAATCTAGAAGCATTCGAAATGTGGTGTTACCGACGTATTTTGAAAATATCATGGATGGATCGCGAAACAAACGAACAAGTTCTCGAACAACTAGGAAAACAATGCGAAGTTTTAAATTCCATAAAAATCAGGAAATTATAATACTTCGGGCACATCATGAGAGGTGAAAAGTACGAACTACTAAGGAATATAATGCAGGGTAAAATAAAAGGTAGTAGAAGCGTAGGAAGACGTAAAATCTCGTGGCTACGCAATCTCCGTGAATGGTTTGGATGCAGTTCAATTGAACTATTCAGGCGAGTAACCAATAAAATTATAATTGCCAGAATGATTTCCAATCTCCGATAGCGGTAGAACTTGAAGAAGAAGAAACTTGGCACTCTACACAAGGCCATGTTTGTATACTTAGTTCATGATAATAATTCACTAATATTTTAGCTAAAAAATCAAGCGAAGAATAATCCTAGCAAACAAATGCTATTTTGGATTGAGTAGACATATGAGAAGCAGAAACTTAAGCCAAAAAAAAACAAAAATATCCATATACAAAACCCTTATACAACCAATGTTGACATTGGTTGTATAAGGGACCTAACCTAACCTAACCATCGGAGACATGACCATTTCCAAGACAGATAAAAATCTCTTGCTTATATCTGAACGAAAGATCCTGAGAAGAATATTTGGAGGCATCTGTGAAAATGGTGTTTGGAGAAGGAGGTACAACTATGAGATATAATACAGATATAAATATATATTTGTTGGTAAAGACGTAGTATCTCTTATAAAAATAGGAAGAATAAGATGGTCAGGACATCTGGCAAGATAACAGCAGAACAACCCTCCTAAAAGGATCCTTATGTCACAACCTGTGCGAAGTAGGAGTAGGGGTAGGCCAAAACTCAGATGGAGGGATGGTGTAGATGAGGATGGTAGAAAAATAGGCGCAGCAAACTAGCAACAGTTGGCAATGGATAGAACTTACTGGCGTAATAGACTTGGGAAGGTCGAGGCTCTTTTATAGGGCTGCAGCACCAATGATGATGATGATGAATTTTTTTATATACTTTCGTGTTTCTATGTAGGTAAATATATCAATTAAATTTATTAAGTTATTCTTACACTTATTAATGATAGTAAGGGTTGGTTTCCCTTACTCTACATCATGTTATAAGTGTCGAAGATTATGCTCTAACCATGGAAATTCCACTACGGCCGGTCAATGAAACTGATAAAATTTATTGATCTCATGAGAATCGTAGAGTAAGTTCGTGTAACCTTCTGGCTAAGGTCTACTGTTAGGGTTTTTAAGTCACGCAAGCGCATCTTACATGAAAACGACTACGTACGTAGCGGTGACCGACGGCTAAATGTGCCTTCTGAAGCACGGTGGTGGTTCAGTTAAATTAGAATTAAAAAAATGTTAGTGTCGAGATTCGAACCCGGATTCTCTAGCTAGTTCAGCTAGTAATATAGCCACTGTGTTACGGCTGCCACATGAACATTGTAAAAAATGGCAAAAATCGCGCAAAGTTTATTTATTGAACAGATTTATAGAAACTGACTGATTTGACTAAAAATTACATACGAAAGCTACACTCGTATTCTTTAAAACACATTTTGATTATGATCTATAAGATAGAGATAATATGGTAGGTAGGTAGAGATAATATATATTTGACATTTGTTATGTTTTTATTTGTTATTTTGTGGCTATATTCATTTTTCATTGCTTTTAAAGGTTTGAGTGAAACATTATTTAGAATATACGTTTTGAATTCGCCGTCCAAGGTTTTACTTCAAGGTTCCCTCGTATGAGACGCTAGAAACCCCCTCTACTTCTTACTATATAAGATAAAATATGCTGAAATTTATGTGCTATCCTCAGTGTTCAGTGTTGTACCGTAATTTTTTTTCAATCATTTATGGTGATCCACAAGTATATTAATAATACTAAAGATGCCGCATTTTAAAGTTGAGACTAATATACCCAATGACAAAATACCTGACGATCTACCTGCCAAATTAAGCAATATAATTTCGAAATCATTAGGAAAACCAATAAATGTAAGTAAATTATAATTTATCTATGATAACTCCACTCAATTTACCTATATCTAATCGATTGATTAATACTTGACTAATCAACTATTTACAATTATTCTAGTATTTTTCCTAAACACTTTTATTTTATTTTTTTTCAAGTATTTGTTAATAACATAGAGTTAAATTACAAAGATGTGAATGAGTGGAGTAATCGCATAACATAAAAAATAAGCCTTTAATAACAAATTCTAAATTTTGAATTATGACTTTATGACTTTTTTATGCAATCTTCAATTTTTAAATCACTGGAGGAAATTGCATGTTGCACATCTGGTCTACCTCGTTTTCTTCTAGTGGGCGAAGTTCATTTTTCTAAGTATATTCTTTAGCCATCTTTTTTCAGGCATTCTCTACAGGTGTACATATCAGTTTAGTTTTTTGGCTTCAATTGTGTCTATGATGTCTAGGTCAATTTTCATTTCTCCCGAATATCTTTGTTCCTCAACCTATCAAGTTTAGTGAGCCGCCAACATCGTTTACAATGGTTCATTTTCGCGACCCCTATGTTCTTTTGTTATTTCATTATTTCACAATAGCCCGTGTAACTGTCTACTACCTTATCTTGCCTTGCTAATCATAGATTCTATTTCTTCATCACTACCTGAATTAACTCCTAAGTATTGGAAGATTTCATCTGATTTTATAGTTCTCATTTCAATTTTTAGGGTTTCTGTATTTACTCATGTAACCTAAGTACTCGGTTATTTGTACAATAATAGTTATGTTCTCTTGATGTATTCCTTTTTGAGTTTTCTAAGCATATAGATTCTAAGCATCTCGATTTTAGCTAGAATAGCTTAGTCATTACCGAAATATGTCGTGTACAGTCACTTGTCTTCATTGGGATGCCCATATTACAGAACTTTCTTCTCCACACTGGGAACGCCTTTCAGATATATAAAGAGTGTATTTACCTACTACTTGTATGCAGTAGCCCTGCTTTAGAACCCGTGAATTTATGACAATTGGCCCTCTATAGTTTGAATAACTGTTTCTATCTCCTTTTTTGTAGATATTGTAAATACGTGCTTTTGTAAGATTCGTTAAAATATATAACCAAAAGAACGTACTTATAAATTGCTATCCAAAATAAGAAATTTTAATTATCTAAACATGAAACAGCAATTATGTGTTTAAAGATAACAGTTCAGGCTGATATTAAGTGCGATAAACATTAAATAAAATATCTACAATCATATTCGTAGAATGAGTATATAATATATATGCAAAAGTCTTTGGCTAATTGACGGTTGGTAAAACAATAAGAAGGTATAAAAAATAAAAAAGAGCTATGCTCCAGCTGAAAAACCTGCGAAAAATTCAGAAAAGTTTTAGAATAAAAAAATTATTGCTACATTACTCATTTAATTTATTATTTTTATTTTTATTTATCTAGCTTTTAATCTGAATATATCGAATAGTATCGTATCTAGACCAAAAATTGATAGGAGTAAAATGATTCCCAAGTAAATTTTACACTTTCCCAATTGCTTGTGAAATTAGTAAACAAAATTTTCGCAAAAATGGAATATCGCAAAAAGAAAATTGTAAAAATAGCGTGTTGAAAATCTTATTGGAAATCGGAAAACTGTTTCGATAGGTTAGCTAGAATAAGATAGATTCACTTTTTTATTTATCTAGCTTTTAATCTGAATATCTCGAATAGTATCGTATCTAGACCAAAAATTTATAGGAGTAAAATGATTGCCAAGTAAATTTTACACTTTCCCAATTGCTTGTGAAATTAGTAAACAAAATTTTCGCAAAAATGGAATATCGCAAAAAGAAAATTGAAAAAATAGCGTGTTGAAAATATTATTGGAAATCGGAAAACTGTTTCGATAGATTAGCTAGAATTAGATAGATTCACTTTAATAAACTGAATATCATTTGTAATTACATAGTTCCTTTAAAGCATTTACAAACTGATAATAACTGATCTTCTAAATGTTCCTATCTTTGAGAGATGTTGGTGACCACATTGACCATCTTATTCTATTCACAGCAGCTCGAAATAGATCAGTTGACGTTAGACCAGTCCATTTCCTAAAATTGGCCAGCCAGGATCTACGTCTACGTCCAGGGCCTCCCTTATTCTCAATCTTGCCCTGTAGATGTGGCCGAAGTAAGCCAATGTTCTGTTTTTTATGGTGTTAATAACTTATTTATCTTTTCTTGGCCTCTGGAGAATAGTTATGTTACTTGTGTGGTGTATATATGAGACTCTCAACATACGTCGTTAGAACCCCATTTCAAATGCCTCCAATCGTTTTAATGGTATCTTCTGTAAGGCTCCAGCTTTCTATTTCATAGAAGACGACACTAAAGACGTAACATCTAAGAATTCTTATGCGTTTATGGATACTTTAAGATAAGTTGCAGATAATCTTCCTAAGGGTGTTGAAAGAGCTTCTGGCTTTCTCAATACGAGCTTTTATTTCGTAGCTGTGATCCCAAGTATTCTTAATATTGCAGCCCAAATAGCATATTTTTTCTACTCTTTCTAACGGTGTATCGTTGATTGTAATTTGGGCGTTTATGCCGGTGTTCTTACTAATGATCATTATTTTTGTCTTCTTGCAGTTTAGTTTTAGGCCATATTTGATACATACTTCTACAAGGTTATCCATCATCCTTTGGAGCCCCTGTGCACTATCTGCCAGCAACATTGTATCGTCTTCATATCTAATGTTGTTTATAAGTTGGCCATTTTCAGCAATCCCATCTTCTGATTCGCCCAAGGCGTCTCTAAAGATGTTTTCAGAGTATGTGTTAAATAATGCCGGTAACAATATGCAACCTTATCTAACTCCTTTTTCGACTATGAAAATCTCGGACGAGATTTTCATAGATGTTTTTAGGATATCGATTAGTGTCCCATGTGGGACTTTATTAAATGCCTTCTAGAAATCAACGACACATGCATACATATCGCAGTTGACATCCCTGTCTCTCTGTATTAGAACTTGCAAACTAAAAAGTGCTTCCTTCGTTCCGAGTCCTGCTCTGAATCCAAATTGAACTTCACTCAGGTGTTCTTCTAATTTGGTGTATATGCGCGAGTGAATGATAGTAAGGAGTACTTTAAGTACATGGCTCATCTAACTAATTAATCTATGTTCTCCACATTTTCTAGCGTTGGATTTTTTAGGAAATGGAATGAATATTGATAGTCAGTCTTTTGATAAGTAACCAGTTTGTGATGTCCTCTCGTAGGAGTCACTATCCGGGTAGCTTTTGGACAGTCAGAGACAGAGTTCAAAATAAAAATAAAACTTTATTGTCTTCCTTAAATTAAATTGACAAAAATCTTATGTACATATTTACAATTTGGTTTAGTCTTCTCAGTACCTGGCCTATTTATTCAAATTAAGTTTGACCTTGTCATATGAAATTAGTCTTATCGGCAAGCGAGTGTGTATTTGAAATTTTACGTGAACGTTGTATCGATTTAATAACAGCGGACGATAGGTACAAAGAAAGGAAAGGAACTGAACACGTCCCTTAAGTGATTCGGGTTAATAGGACACTCCTCGACAGTCTCAACATGACTGCTTCAGAGTACGGGTAGTGAAGAGCTCAACACGCTCTTTGGGTAACGGCGGTATGGAACGGAACAACTTGTGAACTCAACACGTCCACAAGCCGGGGCAGGGAAGAAGAGAACCTTCAGTCAACACCTGTCGATTCTCCTCTATGAGGAAATGTTGCGGTTTATATAGCGGAGCTTGGTAATTAGTTTTGCCCTTTCTACTGTCGATACACTCCTACTACATGGGTTGGTTCGCGCGCACGCTGGTTTAACGGTGATGGCTTGGACTCATCGTTACACCCCCTCTTCCTGGGAAAAAAAATTTTGGAACAAAAATTTTTTTATTTTTATTCCTTGCCAGGTACTTGGTTACCCTAAAAAAAATTTACAATACATCGAAATAAAAAATGTCCGCCCTAAAAAAAAATAAATATCGTCTTATTAAAAAAAATCGTCTTCCTCTCTCTTAAAAAAAACGTCTTCCTTCGTGGGGCTGCAATTATTGGTTTTTTCTTTAGTAGCTTTGTTAAAGGGGCTGTAGTTCGTGAAAAATCTTTTATAAATCTCCTATACCATTAGATGATGCCCAAAAATCGGCGTAGTTGTTTAACGGTTTTTGGCGCGGGATATTCGACTATAGCTTTTGTCTTGTTGTCATCCCCTTTTATTCCCGTTTTGTTTAATACATGGCCTAAATAATTTATCTCTTCTTTGCAGAATTTACATTTGTCTATATTAATTCGTAGTTTGGCCTGCTGTAGTCTGTGAAGTACTTCTTTTAAGTTTTCCATATGTTCCTCGAACGTTTTCCCCAGTACTATTATGTCGTCTAAATAGGCGAATGCATGTGGTTCCATTTCTGGGCCGATTATTGTATCTAGTAATCGTTGAAAAATAGCGGAGGCGGCGTGTAATCCGAATGGAAGTACTTTGAACTGGAATAGTCCTTTTCCTGGTGCTATGAAAGCGGTCAAGGGTTGGCTTGCTTCGGAAAGTGGTACTTGCCAATATCCATTTTTTAGATCTAACGTGGTAAAATATTTTGCAGATTTTAACTTTTCTAGGATATGATTGATGTACGGTAATGGGTAGGCATCTCTTTCTGAGATGTCGTTGATTTTCCTAAAATCGATGCAAAATCTGTATCCGTTGTTATCCTTCTTTTTTACTAGGACGATGGGGAAACTGTACGGGCTATTAGATTTTTCTATCACGTTCTCTTCTAGCATCTTATCTATCTCATCGTTTATGATCTTCTGCATTGCCGGGTTTCGGGGCCTGTTTTTTTTGTTTGATCGGTGTATTATGTTTGAGTTTTATTGTATGTTCGGTTAGATGTGTTGTTCCTTTAATTTGTTTAAATTTCTCCAATTCTATTAGTAACAATTCCTGTAATTGTTTTTTTTTTCGGTATTGTTTAGTGTAGTAC